TCTGGTTGCTTGAGCAGACATCCCAAGTTTCAAAAACTCATTTCAGGGAGATGCTTTTCAAACCCCCCGATCACCCCTCTGAATCCAATCAACGCGCTCTATGACAACCACTCACCTGGAACGCTCGTTGAGCAGAGCATCGCTTTGGACAGATACGCAAAGATTTTACAAGCAATCCCCTCCACACACCCCCTTTCTCTTGCTGTACCTGCGCATGATGCCACAAATTATTGTATTGCCTTCATGCTCTTACTCGCATTAAAAAAACACTACCTCGCATAGTCTAAAATCTGGGATAATTTATCCAACTCGCGGGCATCCGTGAACAACTAACGATATTAGGGAGACTCCCGGATCTTCCAGGAGACTTGGGATGTTCGCTAAGCCCTATCTACCCTACCCTTTTGAAACTGCTCAAGCAACGGTCTGAGCACGGTAACCTAGATGTTGAATGTAAATGGAACAGAACTGAACTGGACCGTGCCTGACACAACCGCACGGCGCTAAAGGGCTAGGCATGGTTTTTTCTGGCTCATTTGAAGGGTTTTCCGCAGTGTCCCGCTTTGCCATTCACAAATCTCTTCACCTGTTCACAACGTGAACTTCTTCTCTGCCTATCAACAATAAATGGCATCAAAAGAGCGTGGTGTGACCTGGGATGATGTCAAGACCAAGACTCTCATTGAAATTTGGGCGGAGGACGCTATCCAGGAACAAAAGTTCCTGAACGTTGTGGCCGCCAACATTTGTGTTTGCGTAATTCCTGCCTTGAAAACTGTAGTATCGTGGGCTAGTGTGATATTTAAATGGTTGTATGAACTAGAGACTGACATTTTTTCGGGAATCCCACGGGTCACGGGATTCCAGTGGGATTCCTGTGGGATGGGAGTCAGTATTAGTAACGATCACGTGATTGGGACGGTACAGGATTGAACATTAACGGGAGTAGACGGGATCGGGAGCAAACCAATAGTAACTAAAAAAAACTAGGATCGATTCCAAAAAATAAAATAAAATAGAAAGAAAAAAATCCAGTACTGGCGCCGCCATTTTGTAGTTTTTTTCCTTGAAGCCTACACTATAATGTGAGTCAAAAAAACTACACGACCCAAAAACCAACAGTGCTTCCGCTCTGAGTTTTTCACCCGCGCTCAAAAACAACAAGAATGGGAGTGGTGCAGGAGCGGGAGTCATTCTGAATGGGAGCGGGATGGGAGTGGGAGTAATTTCACCAGGAGTGGGACGGGACAGGATTTAGATTTCTACTCTGGCCCGGGATCGGGACGGGACACAATTTTTTTTCTGTGGGAGTAGGACGGGACAGGAGTGAAAATCCACTCCCGTGTCAGTCTCTAGTAGGAACCGACCTTGGCCCGTTTAACTTATCCAAGTTTGGTCTGAACTTGGCACGGATCGGTTTCAGAGGGGTAGTGTAAATGAGGCAATAGGCTAAAAGCTATACGAATATAGCGACCACATGTCCCGATTTCTGAGGAAAGTCCCAATTTGAGACGATCTGTCCTTGAATGAAGCTGTCTCTGATTTTACTATTTTATGTTTGGGAAAATCATTTAGTGTGAAGACTGTTGATATGGTTCCCAGTGGTAGCATGTGGGCTACAGCAGTAGCTATTGTAGTAACAGATGTAGAAGAGCAGCACATTTTGTCATCCCCAGTGGGCATATGTCATGTGATATGCTGTGTGGATCTATTTAAGTTCTCTTTACTGGGTGGATCCTTAAGTGTATCTTTTCAGGGATTGATGTGATCAGTTTTGATCATTTATCATTTCAATTTGTGAAGGCAGTGTTTTGCTTTTTCGAGTGTTTGTCTACCAAGTTTAAACATGAGGGTTTTCTTTAAATTTAAGGAAGTCGGTGAGATGGAAGCTGAATGAGGCAAGAACTGCATAGAGAATGATGAGGAAGGAGACACAATTATCCAATTCAATGAGCGCCTCCAAGTTAAACTTTGTTTTAGCTAAATATTGTATTTTCTGCATTTCCTTAGCAGAGAAATAAGTAAAATAATAAAAAAGTATTTAACCATATGCTATTTAAACAAATGATGAGATGCATAATAAATATATTCACATGTTTTTTGAATAAATAAATAAAAAAATAAAAATATATATATATATATTATATATATATATATATATATATATATATATATATATATATATATATATATATATATATTATATATAAGAGAGAGAGAGAGAGAGACTTTAATTGTTTTGTATCCACTTTTCAACATTTTAGGAGGTGTTCTTTAAAAACATAGAGAATACACAAATAAAACTAGACTAAAACTAGACTAAACCTCAAGTAAAACTTTTGCATGAGAAATTAATTAATTGTTACTAAAACTAATAAGAATTTTCTTCTAAAAGACTAAGGCTTGTGAGACTGCCAAAAGCAACACTGGTCTGGAGCTCCTTATCCCATCTATAAATAAAGTTTGGTGTGGAAACTCAGCAGAGGAATCTAATTTTAGGTATTTGTTTGCTTCTGGCTGTAATCTGTTAAGTCATGTCTGTAGGTAAGGGTCAGAACTTAGGCAGACAGGTACATCAATCCATCTAGACAAGTCAAGTGGTCTCAAGCTCAAATCCTTGATGGCTGGTGCAACTTTTAGATGTGCTCCTTGCCCTACACACAAGAATCAAATGTCTAAAGAAGTCAAGGTCTGCTAATGAGTTCATACTGGAGTCAGGTGTATTGGAGCCTCTGTCTAAAGACCACTGATGTAGTCTGAGGCTGTGCTTATTTAATACAGATGGTCTGTCTTCTTCACTATCGTTGCATCAGTTGTCAATAAGTTACTCAAATGCTTGAACTCTTCTGCCTGAGGCAAAGACTGACCTCTGACCCAAACAGAGTGGTCTACGCTTTTCATTTGAGACCAATAACTTCAGACTTCTTAAAGCTGTGTTACACTCTATTGAGATCAAGTCCAGTGGACTATCCATGAGGACAACAACCAGGAGCAGCACCGACAAAGCCCTACACTCAGTTCTTCCTTTAGTCATCCAAGGACTAGATACTTCTTAGCAGTAACCCAGGTACCACATACTGCTATATCCCCACTAAATATCTTGGGGGAGGGAAACACAGTCATAATTCTTCTACAGATCTACAAAACAGATGTAGACCGGACAACCAAACCATGACCCTTACAACAACCCAAACAGGGTATAGATCTGGACCTCTTTTCTATGACCATAATGAAATGAAATGTCTAAATGCTTCTCCTGAACTCAGAGCCTCTTTTCCAAAACCAGAGAGTAAATTCTCTCTTTAAGCCTGGATGAACTCTCCTTTCACCTTTCTTAAAGATTCAGACCACCATCCTTGAAGTGTTTTCTCTGTCCTTCACATAATACATAAGTTAAAAAGGTGCACTGGCATGTTTAATCTTTCTTTTTTTAAGGGAAGTTAAATTTGCAGTGCATTAATAGAGATCCCCTATGTGTTGATTGAAAATACAAATAATAGACAAATTGAACAGAAGAATTTAAGGTTCAAATTAGCTGAGCCAAATGTAATCTTTTTCATATTTAATGTGTGAGTAAAGCAGCAGATATCTCTTGCAGCACAGGCTGCTGTCAGAACTCTTATCTACAATGCATGATGAATCCCTTTGGTCGGAGCGGACTGGCTTTCTGAAAGGTCAAGATCTTCTAACATCCGTAGGTGTCTAATTAACCCGCCTCATCCTGACTAATAGCAGCAGCTCCAGCTTCACCACTCTGACCACATGACGAGTCTGAAAACGTACAAAGTGCAAGGGTTCTCTAGCAATTAGATGCTGATACCTAGTTTCCCAAAAACTGGATTGGAAAATGTATAGTTTTTATCTGGTCCAGACAAATGCAGATCTAGAGAGGGAGTAGCTTCAATCTTATTATGACAGAGACATTTTTTAGATGCAGACATTTCAGACACAATAGATTAATTCAAAATTAGAGGAAAGCTTTAAACCAAAGGTTTTTTCCTCTTACAGCAATGAAATGTGTATATTATTTTATGATATTCTATCATTAAGTAGTTGTAAATGATGACTGGGGAGGCAGATGGTGGTTCTACGGTATTTACTGAAACACACACTTTTTTTTTTTATTTACATTTGCTTAATCATTTATTGTTTTCATTTTTCTTTTTCAAATGATTGTAACATGAAAAAATGGAAAAAAAGTTGAGAGGCACTGCAAATATTTGATGTTTTATGTGGTGTTTGGAGCCGATTCTCAAGCATCTGCTCTCTATCATGCTAAATAAACAAAATAAATAAGAGTTACCTTAAAATGTGTTCATATTCAACAGAGAGTTTATGTTTTGCAAGCCATATAACTCACCTATTAAATTAGAAATATGACTGATACCCTGTAAACATGCACAAAGTTGCACTTTTTCCTTTATGCTTCCCTTTTTTTTTTGCTGAATATGTTCATTTTTGGTCAAGATAATAAGAGATTCTGGAAACATAAAGTCATTTGAGTTGGATTAAGGGTGAGTGAGAAGCCCAAAACAGTGAGATAACCTGACAGAGCAGAGACAGAGTTTCCTTTGGCGACGGCTACAGCTGCAGACTTAAAACCACATGCTTGTCGTAGTATTGTGTCGGTCTGTGTGTGTTTATATGCATGTGTGTGTGTTAGGTGGGCAGGGCTTAGCTGGAGGAGACCTGCTCAGACTGAGATCCTGCTTCTCAGACAGCTGGATCCCCAGGACAAACGGAGAAACTGACAGAAACACGGCGACAAAGAAGTTGGTTGGGGGAGATAAACAAAGGATGACCGCAGCAGACGACGAGTCAGAAAGTGAAAGAAACACCTGTAAAGACGGAGCTAAACTAAAAATATTATATGGCAGGCGCTGGATTTGATTTAGAAGGGAGGTCTGAGCCACCCTGATAATGTGGATCGGCATGAAGATTCCCAGCTTCATCTCAATCTACAGGCAGAAATTGTGAAAACTTCTTTATCATTCACCCACCAGACTCTTCATCCATTTTGATTGACAGGGCCGGACTCTGGGGGGCGGAGTCTTCACTCAGAGAGTAGCTGTGGTCTGCTTGGATATCTGTGAGATTAGAAAGGCCCTCTCAGAAGAATGGAAAAAATAACAGATCCTGAAACATCTGCTGACATCAATGGAAAGTTAAATCAGGAGCCCTGACATCATGCTTGGTTTGACTCATAGGACTCACTAATAAAAAAAATAGGAAGATCGAAACAGGCGTACAGCACAATCCAGGCCTTCAAAATGATTTACTTTAAAACATCAAACTTGTGGTATTTCATTAGGATTTAATAGGATAGACCACCTAGAAAATCTGACTTTGACTAGGCCATTGTAATATCTTAACCCTTCTGTTGTAGCTCTGGCTTTATGTGAAATGCAGTATCAAATATTTTTTGGTGCCTGGTTTGTCTGTACTGGCTGCAAAAACCATCCCCACAGCATGATGCTGCCACCACCCTGTTAACTAATGTCCAGGGGAATGCAAAGTGTTATGTTTGTGGTAGCATTTAGACCAAAACAGTTCAATTATTTTCTCATCTGACCAGAGAACCTTCTTTTATGTGGTCTCCTTTTTGCTTGTGGCAAACTGCAAACAAAACCTCATGTGGCTTTCTCTCAGCAGTGGCTTTCTTCATACCGTATTTTGGTAGTTTGTAGATATAGATCAACCGGAATAGGGCCTGCATATATTTTAGAAACTCTCAAGTTCCCCCAGCCTGTTCCTACCTTCACACTTCTCCTGTGTTTCCCTACTCCATCAACTGCTCTTCACTCTCTGCTGTCTGTTCTCTGTCACCTTCTTTGCAATTGTTTTTAAGTCTGTTTGTTTAAAAGTGTCAAATGCACAAACATAAACCTAACTTTCTCCCTCAACTGTTCCTCCAGCCTTAGCAGTGGATTTCTGCAGCTCCTCCAGAGTTACTATGGGCCTGGCTTTTAGGTGCAGCTTCACTGCCATTTCTTGTTAGATTGGAAGTTTAACCAGGCTTTTAATTTCCAGAAAATAAACTGAACTATGAGGTGTTAATTGCTTAGGACAATTTTATTTTAGAACCTAACTCTGCTTAAAACTACTTTTTCAGCTTTGGGATGCTGTTTATCCACTGATGCTGCCTAACTAAACCTCTTTATACTGAGGACAAGTTACAAACACTCTACTTCTGTCAGTTCATCAGCTGCATTTGATTTTATTTAGTGCATTGGGTACAATACAAATGAAAATGTTTCTTATTTTTTTTTCTGTAAAGTCTAAATTCAGAATAGAGCACTGATTAGCTAATTTAGCACATAAAATATCAATAAAATACAATAGAGTTTGACCTAATGAAAATTAAAAGGGCTTAAATACTTTAGCAAAGCACTGCATAACCCTGCAAGGTTACCTCAATAGCTGCACAAAGTCAGATTTCTACAGCTGCTAGCATGCTGTGTGCAAAGTGTGTTCCATTGACATTCATAAATGCATCCATGCAGGCAGCGTGGAAGTGGATCATTTTAGATGAATGCACCACAGAATGTTGGACAGGACCAAAAAGATGCATGTTTAAATTCAGCCTGAGTACATTTGATCCTATTTATTGATGCATTCATGCTCATCTGACAGCATTTGATTCCAGCTCCTGCAGCGACTTATCAGAAATGTTACCATAATCTAATTTGTTTCAGTTTCTTCTATTATTTTTCCTCTCTTTGTGACCATGGCAACACCTGACAGGGACACTGATTTGAAGTGATGAGCTCAGATCGCAGAGCAGTGAGATGACAGCTTCAACAAACTGAGAGAGCCTCCAGGAAAATTCTCAGAGCAAATAAACCAGTAATGAGTTAATGTGTGTATGAGACTTTCAAACTTGGTAAAAGGAGATGCTGTTTTTATACTTATGATACTTCTGGTCCAGAAAAAAACCTATGTCGATGTTAATACAGAGTAGCATTTTGCTACAGTCAGTCCTTTAACTGTCAGATTGTGGGTTTTAAAACCAAATTTTGGCTGCAGAACAACTAGGGATCATTCCAAGGGAACAAATATGTGTTTTCAGCAGATCACAACATCCACTGAGTCATTATTTTGCTACACGAAGTAGTCTTTTAACCTCTGTGGCTTTATGGCATTGTGCAGGAAAAGTGGCATGCATATTCTTGAACACACTTCCTCACCTGGGTTGCTGTCCATGTCAATGTGCAGGGGCGAGGGTCTATCTGTCAGCAGGGGGCGCTCTAAGAGATGGTCGTCGAAGAAACTGTTAAATAATTCACTGCTGAAGTCGTCCATTTGGTCACCAGAAAAAGGCTGGAAGACACAAAGAGGAAGGAAAGACAAAAAAAAGAAAAGAAATGAAATAGGTTTAATATACAGATGTTAACAGTATTAATGAATACTACATATCGACTCAGATTTATCAGTAATGAACAGCTGTGAAATCTAGATAACGGACCATAGCCCAACCTGATGGTAGTGTTAGTGCTCCGCCAAACAGTATTTTGCATAAAGTTCAATTTAATCTCATCTGAGCAGAACACCTTCTTCTAAACATTTTCCTTGTCCCTACAGTGCTTGTCGCCACTTATAAAAAGAGATATCCATAGAAAGCCATGGTTTCTTCAGAAAAATATTGTTAATAAAGCTTCTGTTTGTGTCTTTTTGTTTCTCTTCTTGGGTTGAGGTTGAGGTTTTGATTTGTGCTTAAGATCTTATTATTTTTGGAACATCGCATTTTTATGTTTTTGTTATGTCATTTACCTGAGCTTAAGTTGAACACCTTGCCTGGATGCCGTCCACTTGGTGGATTCTGACCTCGACCAGCTGGACTTTAATTTTTATGGTTGACAAAGTGAATTTTGCTACACAAAAGTACCAAAGTTTGGTACCACTTGTATTTAAATACAACACAGCATGATGCTACCAACACTGTAGCTTACAATTGGTACAGTGTTCTTTTAAAGACTGCCTCAGTTTTTAAAACTAAACCTTCTATTGCTACTGTTGCAAAACAGCTCCATTTCCATCTGATTCGCATTTTCCATGCAAGCAGCGGCATATTTCAAATTTCCGTCTTCTATCAAGGTTATCTGTCTTGGTTGACATGCTTTCAGATTGTGGCAATATTAAAAAAACGGCTTCCGAGTGGACAGTGATACTGGCGTTCTTGTAGCTTCCACCTTCCAGCAGGCGTCAGCCTTGGTGTTTCCAGGTCCTTCTCAACCAATTTCCTTTCATCAATTTGGATTTTCTTTCCCAAACTCAATCCAGCTAATGCTGTCAAAAAATGAATTCCATGCCGACAGAGACATTTATTTATTGCATGATTAATCACCCCTGTTAAAAGAATATTTTTGAAAAAAAATGACAAAGAACCGCAAATAATATGACAAGTAGACCTAAACCTCTAAGCAAACCTGTACACAAGAGGCTATACTTAACAATGTTTATTAATGTTCTGGTTATTGTCTCAATAACAGAGTTATTTATAGAAAAAAATGATAATACATTTAAAAAGTAAAAAGTTAAGTTAATATTAAGAATTATTCTTGAATGAGATCATAAAAACATGAAATCCCTTTTGCAATCCCTAGTTTCAATTTTCTCTTCAAGTATCAGAAGACGACCTAGGAGCTGTAAATGGCTTGAAGAGTCAATCAATGAGGGAAAAAAAGCATCAACAGATTAATCTTTGGTTCTGATGAATGAGTCACTGAGCTGGGAGATGGGTGCTCTGGAAGCTCAGGACGACATGGTGTTCTGGTTCACACACACACATTAACACACAAGCACACAATATGAGTCATCCTGCTCTTGAGAAAACATGCCAAACAAAAGCAGACATCTGGATTGGTTGGAACCCAAATACCTTCTGCTTGGAGGCTCCTTAGACAGACTCAGTAACAAAAATAAATTGCAGCTTGTACTAAAGTATTGTTTTCATGTTTCAATTTTGGAAGACAGCTTTATCTCTTGACCAAGAGGAACTAGAAGGGTTAGAGTAGGAAAACAAGAAATCTTGATATACAGTAGGATTAGAAATACAGATAAGTATTTAATAACTTTATCACCAGGAATGGTGAAAATGTAAAAAAAATAAAAAATAAAACACAAATATATACAGAAGTATGTTGGCTCTCATGGGATGCACAGTGGTAACAGTGGTGCGGTGGATTCCCGGTCCGGGGTCTTTCTGCATGGAGTTTGCATGTTCTCCCTTTGCATGCATTGGGTTCTCTCCAGGTACTCTGGCTTCCTCCCACAGTCCAAAAACATGACTGTTAGGTTGGATGGCTTCTCTGAATTCTCCTTAGGTGTGAGTGTGAGTGTAAATGGTTGTTTGTCCTATTTGTCTCTGTGTTGCCTTGAGATAGACTGGCGACCTGTCCAGGGTGTACCCCTCCTCTCGTCCATTGACAGATGAAGATAGGCACCAGCACTCCTCGCGACCCCAGCAGGGATAAGCGTGACAGTAAATGGATGGATGGATGAATGTTGGCTCTGAGTTTGTACTCTTTAAAACCTGTTTTCTAAATGGACGATTTTTTGATCTTTAAAGCACAAATGTTTGAATTTTGACGAAAGTATTGGCTCGATTTGAGCAAATATAAGACTGGTGCTCCTAGTAGTTACTCAGTGCTGCTTCCAACTTTCTAATGCAAGACTCTTCTTAAGCCTGGGGTTCCACCAAACGCGTTAATGTCACAGATCGTCAGGCTCGGTTTATTCTAGCCACTCTGGTAAATCAGAGTGGCTCCACTGGGCGAGCTGCATAGTGTGCTTGAAGTGTCCCACAAGTGTGGTTCACTAGTTTATTTTTCACGCTTGATGCTTCAAGTCCTCATCAATCTGGAGTAGAGTGGATCGTTTAGGCAGGAAGTAAGTTGCTGAAGAACGAAGCGGATCTGTTGGAGTTTTAAAGTTGAACACTACATGTGCATCACGTTTTACTCTAAAGCATCAAACCATTACGCTCGGCTCCAGCACAAAGCCACCAGAAAGTCTCGTTTCATATGACAGTGGGTCACAAAATGTTTATTTGGGAGGTGATAAAACACCCAATTTTATATGGCATAATTCAATGGTTTGAAAAAGATAACACGAGAAAGAAAAAGCCACAGGCTGAGAGGTAAGTTGACCAGATAAAGAGCAGGCATACTGGTTGTACAGGCCAAATAACCACTTTATTGTTCTATTTAAAGCCTACTTGTATATACTACCACTGCCCGATAATTAAATCCTCATGTGATCCGAGTTCAACCGCCCCTGAAGTGCTCTGCCCTAAAACGCTCCCGATGGAACAGGGTGCTTGGAAGGAGCATTAATGCATTCGGTGGAACCGAGGGATAATGGATATGCTTCAGCTTACCATGTAGATGTCATTATCTGGCCTTGCTTTGACAAAAAGCCTCCTCGTCACACCTCAAATGTTTCATCTTCCACCTCTGCCATGAACCCTCCTGTTTCTTAGCCAAATCTAGAAGATGGACGCTACTTCAGCTGCCTTCTACCTGTCTTTTCTAAAAGTTCGAAGAAGAGGAAACTGGAAATACTGATTCAAGACTGTTTTCTACAGCACCTCTTCAACCTCAGCCTGACATAGGAGACAGTTTGGTGTTGTAGAATACCTCTTGCCTTGTTCCCGTACCAAAAAAAAAATCAGCCAACAGTCCTAAATAAACAAAGACCCGAGTGAAGGTCCTAGAGGGAACAAACCAGCTGGCAAGCAAACCAGCAACTACCGGGATCCCTTGCATTATGCTTATTGACCTGTAGTTGGAGTCGAAGATGCCATCACACAGCTGCTTCAACAAATCCACTGTCATTAGGCCAGGAATGACTTCACTCTCAGAATCATGTTCTTTGATTTCTCACTACATTTAACAAGATTCATCCGGATTTGATGTGTTAGGAACTCCAGGGAACTCATGTGGGGGAATCAGCAATTGTTTTGTTCAAAGGCTACAGTTTGAAAGACCAAAAGGTCAACTATCTAATCAAGTAGTCAACAGTACAGGAGTACCACAGGGGACAGTACTCTCACCATTTTTTTTTACTCGGTACACCTAAGATTTCTGGTACAAGACAGAGTCATGGTATCTGCAGAAATACTCGGCTGACTCCGCAGTCATTGGGTGCATCAAAGAAGGTCAAGAAGCTGAGTAAAGAGGGTTGGTGAACCAATTTGTGGCAGGGTGTTGAAACTATCATCTGATCCTGAACATGAACCAGGGAGATGATTGTAGACTTCAGAAGAAACAGGAACAGGTTGAATCATATTACAGTATAAGCATCATGGGAGACGAAAAGGAGGTGGTAGAGGAGTAGAAATACCTTGGAGTTCACCTGGACACCAAACTCAACTAGAGACGCCACTGTGAAGCCGTCTACAAGAAGGGACAGAGAAGACTCAGATCCTTCAGTCAACAACTTCTCCAGATCTGATGCAAGACAGACCCCCACAGAACAACCTTCCGGGCAACAGCTATCAACCCATACCACAACTCAATGAAAAAAGCCTATGAGTTACTACAACATTTAATTTACCCATGTGATTTCAATGCTTCAAATCTGGTAGACTATTGTAGGGCACATTTTCTGTGTCTTCTTACTTCCCTGAGATATTATAAATGTGATGTTTACAGAGAGACCAATTTCTCATAGCTACAACCTAAAGACTAATCTCAGGACTAGTAAATATGTCATATAATTAAGACAGATGTGTGTTGATTTTAAATAAAAAAAAGGCTAGAGTTTCTCACCTCAACTTTTTAGATCTACAATTGCAGAACTGAATTATTTGCAACGGTGGGTATTGTTTTGCTTATCCGCAAACAGCTAGTAGGCGGATGAAAGTTTTGGTGAGTGGATTAACATTTTAACTTTAAACCCAGTAGTAAACCTTTCTGCTAAATTGGGTTTTACCAACTCCAGGTCCACTACCAGAATTTACAAGTTCGTTCCTTTCTGTTCTATGGTTGCCATAAAGACTCTATTCGACTATCTATTGGCTTACCACATTTACACATGATGTCGTCGTGTGATGTACATTGTTTTGTACAAAGCACAAGCAGCTAGCCGAAAGCAATTTTAGAATTGAAGTGAACAGAAAGATTTTCGCTATTTTTTTCAGTTAGCCGATTTGAAACAGAGCTGGAAAAAACAAGGCTAGTTGAAGACCTTCAAGTTTGTCCCCCACGCAAACTGTGAGTGATTGCACAATGAAAGGGCAACAAAATAT